AGTAGGATAGGGAAGAGGAGAGGGAAACGGCGGGTTAAGACAACTGCTGGCGATGAGGCCAGACCAGCTACGCTGGCTTAGGGTGGCTCCCGTGGGAGGGGGGCTCAGAGACAGAAACAGGACGGGCAGCCCTGACCCCGGCCAAGTACAGGGGACATGCATGCCTTCCACACACTGGAAACCTCAGCCACTCATCCCCGCTTAGCAGCACAGATTTGAAAACTGGGTACCGAGCCTCCTCCCCTAGCCAAATACTGGCTCCTCAGGCATCAAGCATGGCCGCTTGTGTGGCTGCATGATCCCTGTGCCACAGACCCAAATCCTGCCCCTTGAGTATCTGTGACTGTGGTGTACGTACACCTGTGGAGCTGGTTGTGGGGGAATCCAGTCTGTGTGCAAAAGTGGGGGCTGGAAAGACAGGAATTCCATGGGGCTCCTTAAGGGCGGGGTACAGTGCCAGGCCTGGGAGGGACCAGGCTCAGGAGGGGCAAGCCCAGGTCTGAGCCATCACTCATGCAAAGCAGGAACCTGGAAGCCCTGGACAGGCAGGCAGCCCTAAACTGTGTCCCCATCCCTGTCCGAACCACCATCCAAGCCACGGTCGTAAGGAACTGGTCCTGGGCTCAGGCCACCTGCCCCCCCCACTCCTGTGGGAAGGCAGGGCTCCTCCCACCTGAACAGAAACTCCAGGCTGGCGAGGAGGCGAGGACCCCTCCTCTGCACCAGCTGCTTGAGAGGGTGCAGGAGTGGAGCTCGAGCTTGGTCTCTGGCCCCAGGAAGGTCCGGAGGCCATGGCAGGAGGTGGGCTACCTGTGCACACACTGTCTTTGGTGTGGGCATGCCTGTGGGTGATGAGCTCATGTCAGACAATGTGTGCGGTGGACATGCAGCGAGTCCCTCCCCCCTGCCCAGCGTGTGCGTCTGACCTGGTGTCTGTCTTCACACTTGTGTCTGTGACTTTCCAGTTTCTCCGGATTCCCTGCCGCCAGGGGCCAAGAAGAACCCAGGACGTCTCCTCCCTCCCCCAACCGACAGCTGTGCCGAAGGTAAAGGCCGGGGACCCTGGGCCCTCTCAGGCCTTCCTGTGAGAGGGGCTGCTGGGTGGTGCCAGTGAGAGCAGCACAGCCACCCACCACGCAGCCAGGGCTCTAACTGGCTCTCCCCAGGGGCTCCAAACTGGTCCTTCTTGAGATGCAATTTCCTTCCCAGATCAGCCCTCCACCCGCTGCTGCCTGGAGGACATGTGCTGGGGCAGGCACAGCACCTTTTGCTCGGCTCCCCTAGGCCATGTCTACACTGGGCTGGGGGCTCCACACCAGCCTCCAACCAGCCTCAGTTCTGGTTACCAAAGGCCCACACAGCACCGAGCTGCCCGAGGCAGTCTTGCACACCCAAGGTCTTGCCCCGCAGGGCTCCAGCTGTGGGTACCCAACTCTTTGGCACATCATTCACATCCAAGCTTATAATCACCCAGACACACATCGGGGGGCCAGCACTGTCACACCCCAGAATGAGCATTACCAAGGACCAGCTCCTCTTCCAAGCTGGCCAGGTGACATGGTGACCCCCAGACTGCTGGGGACAAGCTCTCCTGCCATTTGGAAGAGACTCCAGAGAGGAAATTTCACAGCCTGAGTGTTCTCAGGACTTGGGAGGAGCAGCCCCAAGGCTCCCAAAGAAAAGCTTCAGGGTCCAAAGGGGCGGGGGCTCCAGGTGCCCAGGATTCCGACCCCAAGCAATGTCGCCCCGATTTCCCCGGGGGGCTCCCTCCTGCACACTGGCAGAGTGAGGTTAGGATTCTGGATCCTACAAAATCAGCACATGCTCCCCCGGAAAGAAAGAAGACCCCGTAGCCCCACTTTCTCCCCATCTCACCACCGGGGAGGAGATCCGACAGCCCGGACAGTCGCAGATTGGGGGGTGCACCTGCAGAATCCCCTTGGACATCAGTGTCTTCAGACTCTTCCCTGTGAGGAGAGGCAGGCAGGGCCGGTGAGGGCGTGGGCGGCACACTTCCGGGGTGCAGTCAGCAGCAGGGCTGGGGCCCCCTCCCGGCACGAATATGCACACCCACCTCAGTCCAACTTCCAAACCCACCACCAGCCCTGCCGCCCACCCTATCCTCGTGGGTCCCGCGGGGATTTCCAGAGCTCAGAAACTGAAGACCCGGGCGAGCGCCCTCCCCGACCGAGGGCGCCCCTCCTCCCTCCCGCGCCCCTCCTCCCGCTTCACTCTCTCCGAGCCTGGCTGCGGGACCCCAGGAGGGCACAGTCAGGACCTGGGCTGCGCCTGACCCCGTAGCGGGAAGAGGGGGGCCGCTGTGGACTCGCGAACCCCAAAGTCGAACGCTACTGGGTCCCTAACTTTCTAACTCCCCCCACTCCCGCTCACCGCACTCCTGGCTGCCGGCTTAGGCGCCCGCCCGTCACGCCCGAAGAGCCTGACTCCTGCGGGAGCCCAACAGGCTGCTCCCAGCTTCGACGCCGCTCCTGCTCCGCGCGCGCCCCCGACCGGACGCGCGGCCCCGCGGCCCCCACCTGCCTGCTCCAACCTTACACCTCGCCCTTCTCTCCAGCTCGCACCCCACCTCGGCCGCACGTGTGCCCTCCACTCCCGCCAGAACCCGTGGCTCCGGCGTCCCCGGGGTCCGGGTGAGGGCGAGTATCCTGCCCAGCCCTCCTCCCGCCTGCTCTCCCGAGTTCCCGTAACTTCCCTGCGTCCCGAGGCCCAGCAATCCTGCCGAGACGCCCGGAGCGTCAGGAGCAGCTGGCTAGTGCGCAGCGGGAGCTGGGCGAACGGTGGAGGCCGAGGACGCCCTGCCCGGGTCCACAGAGGAGACGGTGCAAAGCGAGGGGTGGGGGTCGGGGGGGGAGGAGTGTCCCTGCTGCAGCCCCGGAGCCACAGCGCCCTCTCTGGGCGGTGACGGAGTTTCCCCAGATGGCGGATGAGTGGGGTCCGGATCCACGGATCCTCAGGGAGCGGAGGTCAGGCACCGGGGCGGCCCGGGTCCCCGCTGCGGGCGCACCTTTGTGGCGGATGCTGCGCTTCCAGTCCTTGGCCGTCTCGCGGCCGCTGACGAACTGGAATTCGTTGGGGGTGAGCCACTCGCCGCGGTGGCGGATGGATGGGCCCTTGCTGCCCTGGCAGAGTTTGCGCACGTAGAGCAGAGCGCGGTTGGCGCCGCACTCCACCTCG